ATATCTCTATTCCAAAGGTATATTTACGAAGGTTCACTTTTCCGTCCCATATATAGTAGTTACTGGTGTGCTGGTGTATCAATCTTACGAAACACACAGAAGACCGGTGATTCAAATTTAAACCTGAAACCATTCAACGACCAGGTCAACGATCAAGCGACTAAAGCAAACCGAAGAAAAGTTTCTAATCGGTGGAATGCTCGTCTTTGGTACACTTTCATGATGAGGCCATTGATGGCGCACTTCTCTTCGTGAAGTTAATGTTGAAACGCTGAACTCCATTACCATACCTTCATCAAGAACTCGTTCTTTTTAAAGGCAGAATCTGCACCTATGCGTCATACATAGAACGTAATCTCCCGTTTCTTTCCCACAGAATGGTACTCATTTATCAACCTCGAAAAGAAGAAAGGCAAGTGACTTGACCAGGATTGAAAATAAGTAACCTGTCACGATATAATCCGATCACCCTACAGGGCAGGGTACCTGTAGTAACCTACAGGTCTATATTCGCTATAAAAAATACATTTTAATTAATTAAATCTTAAATCACACTGACAAGCTCTAACCTAGTAATTTACCAATTACTTTTCGCTACACTAACCTGAGACTGCACTTTCGTTTCGCGGATCTTCGCCCAACTTTGGTACAACTGCTGCAACTGTTTGATGTCCGAATCTTCCAACGATGGCAACTCGGTTTTCAGGTCGTTTAAAAAGTTCTCAGCTAAATCCGCCTTGATAAGCTGATTTTTGCTCTTAACATTATCCAACATCTCCTTTAATAATAAAGAGTTTTAGAGGTCAGATACAACAAAAAATATAAAGATAAATTTTATGATTTCTGTACACAGCTTGACAAAAGCGCACGAATGCTGGGAAAGCCCGCCGTAGTGAATGATTATGAACGTCGACCACAAGTCACTTCCGCTTGGATAAGACGAGAGTACCGGGAGGAAAGGGAAGAAAAGACAGGGAAGCTAAGAAAATGATGAGATGAATTAAAAATAAGCGAGCATTTTGGCCGTATAAAAAGTTTTGAAAATATTAAGAATTTTTACAGCCTACATAAAATCACTGAAAAACGCTAATTTTAAAAAAAACATACAAGGATAATCATAAACCTGACAAATACTACCAACATAGCAATAATGAAATATAAAACAAAGATCTAACCTGAGCTGACTGTACAACTATCATAATAAATGAACACAAAATACAAGACAAATAAAGCTATCTTAACTTCATCACTGCCGTAGAACGCTGCCTTATACTGTGACGCTGTACCTGAGGATTCACACTGAGGCAGGCAT